CATAAAATTTACTGACTCACATTCGAACATTCAACGATCGACTCTGTGAACACTTTTCTCAACTTAATTATGTACAGTGAATTGTATTTACTACTAAAAAGATAAGTAAACATCAAATACGATTAACTTAATCGTATTTGATGTTTACTTATCTTATCGAAGGGTAGACCACTCTAAAAAAACTCTTTCCAAAAACTCTTATTATTCATAATTACGATATTCGACACAAACAAAAAGACAGCGAACCAACGAACAATATCAACAAAGAGACATTCACGAATCAAACAATTACACACACATTTTGTCCACACGACACACACTGATTACCCAATCTGTATATTGATAAATTGTATAAATGTTGCATTGTTTTCTAAATTGCATATGTTTCGTTTTTAATTGCATTTGAAAGTTCGTTTATTTATATGTTTGGGGATGCAGTGAGACACGCAACCCACTAAAAAAATCCTTCTGATTCTTTCTTAAATAATTAACAATCCTGCACGTCCCCAACAAATGTGTTTGTGTAGAAGTAAGTGTAACAAGCGTGTGTGATAGACACATGTGTATATATGCATGTCTGTAAGAGTTTTCAAAAGTCAACAGAGGAGCAAGAAAAGTGAACGTGCCTCGGCGGGCAGCATCTTTATCTACGTGCGATGTACATCTTTCCGTCCCTGGGGGAAAATAGGTAAAAGAGTATAACAGAGAATGTCACTGCCTAGCGACGTTTTTTTTCTTTTTAGGAAAGTAAGTTGGGTAACTCCATAAATATATATATATATATATATATATGTATATATATATATATATACTTTCTTTCTAAAACAAAAAAGTTAATATCAATCAACCTAAACTGAAAAGTCTTACTAAAAATATTATGCCTCTGACAAGAATCGAACCGTTATCGCTTTTTTTTTTATCAGGTAAACTGTTTGTGTAGATGGAACATGTCTTTTTATATATATATATATATATATATATATATATATATATATATATATATATATATATATATATATATATATATATAAAAAAAGAGATTATAATTAAAACATTTTGAAATAATCTCTTATAATAAAATATAATAATAATATATTGCACTAGTGAAATTTTACTCCATCTGTTCTTACTCTCATTTGGACACACACAAACACACACACACACACACACACACACACACACACACACACATATATATAAATTGATATTATTACGTTTTCGATGAGTTGAACATGTCGGTGTTCATAAAATAAAAATAATCGAAATGGATAATTAAAGTCTCCGTCTTCCTATTATCATTATAATGCTCTGTAGTCTACATTGAGCTCTCCCTGGATTTATATCCTACTCGGAATTTTTCTCTTCCTGTCAAAACTGGTAAAACGTATATATATATATATATATATATATATATATATATATATATATATATATGTGTGTGTGTGTGTGTGTGTGTGTGTGTGTGTTACTTTGAACGTTATTTTCTAGTGGAAACCGTTATTTCTAATGGATACACTATTTTTTAAACAATGAGTGTTACGTCATCCACAAAAAATAGCGTTTGAAATAATAAAAATGTAGGATTAAAAATAAATACATTAATTCTTTACACACACACACACACACACACACACGCGTGCGCCCGTACACACACACATATATGTACATACTACCTTACATCTCTAGCACGACTGAGTGTTGTTTAATATATATATATATATATATATATATATATATATATATATATTTGCTCTGTTTCATTAAATTGTGCACTGTTTCATTAACACCTGCACTATATAAAAGGATATGTTGCAATTTTATTGACATATATCCATATGTATATATATATACATACCGTAATTTCCCATGTATAATACGCTTTCACCCATAATACTCACTCCTAAAATTGTGCTGAAAGTGTGGGAAAAGGCTTCTACTCACGTATAATACGTAGCTTTTGTTGGGTAATCAAATCCTATAAATTTTACCTCTCCAAATTCTTTACGGCTAGCGTTTCCCACTCTTATTAAAAACGGTTTTAAACATAAAATTCAGTTTTTATGATAATTCTTATTTTATCTTACATTTGTAAGTATTGTTAGGTGACATATGATTGTATTTGACATCCTTATGGGGTCGCAGTCACCGAATGTTACTGTCAAATTGTCGTATGTTTTGATGAGTAGTTATTTCGCAACTGAAATCGACCCATGAAAAGGCAATTTTTTCTAGCTGTGCATAATCCGCACCCCTAATTTTGCTTATTATTTTTTAGAAAAAAATGCGTATTATACATGGGGAATTAAAGTATATATATATATCTTGCAATCTCTCCCAGATACTGCCTGGAGTGACTATTACTATTGTAGATTAGATTAATGCATGGCAACAGACAATATTCGTTAGATGCAGTCATGAAACGAAAGAATATCTACACAAGATTAACAAGATATTAACTGGAGCGAAGTATTCATGCTATGAAACATCTAACAACTTGTGTTCTAGATTAGAAAGTACATAATTACTCATCTAATTAACCTATTTTCATATTGACCAAGAGTCCCATTGACTAATTATCGGTTTATTTTGCGAGCTACAATATGAAGAAATCAAAGTAAAGCAAGTACAAAAATTTAGTTATCTTGAAAAGATGACGGAAAATGTCTCACGGGAATCTGAAGATGCGTTAGAATAGCCGAAGATGTTTTCCAAAAGCAAAACAAAATATTAAGAAATAGGAAAATTTTGTCGGAAACAATTATAAGAATGCTCAACCATGCAATATCAATCTTCCTATATGATATTTAATGTTGGACAATTTTCTTATAGATGAAGAGGTGTGATTCTACAGAAGGATGAAAAGAATACCATGGACGGAACATGTGAACCACAAGAAAATTTTAAAGAAAATAAGAACGAAAAGGATACTTTTTGTTGTAATGGAATGTCCCACACTCCTTATCGCCTATGTGGACTGACTATATCAGTAACTATATATAGTGGGCACAGGATATACCTGGGGACTTGCTTCGGCAATTAGTTGGAGATTCGTCTCCAGCTAAGCTAGGCGAACTCTCTGCATTCGGACGGAGAGGAACCCTGACGAGGCTATGCCGAAAGGCAGTGTCTCGTCTGGGGTGGTAGACAGCTACCCGAACCCGTTTTTTACAGGGTCTACGGGGAATTTTTGCCCGAGCCTACGGACTCGGATAGCCAACGTTAAATTCGTCCTTGTGCCACATCTGACGGCATAGGGCGGTGGGCAAATATCCTTGCTTCGGCGATTATTGGGAGATTCGTCTCCAGCTAAGCTAGTCTAACTTTCTGCCGAAGGGCAGAGTCTCGTCTGGGGTGGTAGACAGCTACCCGACCCCGTTTTTTACGGGGGCTACGTGGAATTTTTTCCCGAGCTTACGGGCTCGGTTTATACCCGCATTAAAAAACGGCCTTGTGCCACATCCTGCCTCGCGGGGAGGTAAGGTAAATATCCTTGCTTCGGGAACTACTAGCCTGCCACCCGATTCCTCGTCTTTCAGTAGTCTTTATTCTTTCCCAATAAACCCGTCTTCTTTCATGTACGTGCGTGTTGCTGTTCCATCAATCGAGTACCTCCTTTGTCTGTTTGTAACATCTTTAAGGATACAACGCTTTTGCTTAAGATCAAAAAGAAACAGTTGAAATTTTTGGGACGCAATAAGGAAAGAGTGTTTGGAGAATTTGATGCTCGCAGGAAGGCAAGAATGCCAGGGGAAAACATCAAGTAACCTATCTGTTGTAACCTAAAGAAGGTTACTGAATAGAATAATCACACGAAGGTTGGTAATGAACAATAATACCTAGAATAAGAACAACGCCTATAAGATTCGCCAGCGGCGCGTAGGAGTAGTCAACTGTTAGAAGTAAGTCAAGTAAATTCCACAATGAATCTCCAAATGCAGGATATCTACCAACCGTCCCATGCGGTCAGTTGTGCCACAAGGCCGAATTTAATGTGGGGTGCCCGAGCCCGTAGGGTCACCCAAAAATTCCCTGTAGATCCCATATAAAACGGGGTCGGGTAGCTGTTTCTCGAGACGAGACTCTGCCTTCCGATATAGCCTCGTCTGGGCATCCTCTCTGCCCAGAGGCAGAGAGTTTGACTAGCACAGCTGGAGACGAATCTCCAACTGCAGGCCGGCCGACCAACACATACTGTACTCACTACTGTATTTACAGGAATGGTGGCATACCCATTATCGTCCGTAGGTATGCTAAAACACACTATCTAATAAGCTTTCGGAAACAGATGACAGGACATGTCAATGTTTTGCTATTCATGGGAGGGATATAGTAAGAGGACAAACATTGGTAAGAGCCACATAGATAAAGAAATTGTGGAGAGCTATGATCGCCCAAATCCTGAAGGGACACAGTACATAAAAGAAGATGTTTATTACCCTCCCCACTCTAAAGCTATGAGCCAATCTCTCCGTTTACCTACTTATTCACTTTTCTATATCACATATTAATGCAAACTTCTTTTCATAAGAAACAATTACGTTGATACCTTAATCCTATGGATTGAAAAATGCTATGTGCAAAACGGTCTTATTTTAACTAAAAGCAGTAAAACTTGGATTGTTTTTTGTTGATTTATCAAACATGGTAAATACAATAAGAGTGTAAGCAAGAAGACTTCGGCGTCAATTCATATCTGCCTGTTTGATAGCTGTATTTCTACTTGAGAAGACAGTTGTTTGTACTTCCCCTTCTCTCTCTCTTTTTACTTGCTTACCCGCCAAACTCCTCGCTTACTTACGCCACCTCTCCTGCATCCTCTCCTGTGCCCACGCCTGCTTCATTCATTTGCATTTTGCTTTTCTCAATATCTTCAAGTTTCAGCTGAGAAATTTGGGTCGTAGTGATTCGGCCGAGAGAACAGCAACATCATTCGAATGTTTCGATCCGGCTTTGATATTGTTAAAATCTTACTTTGGGGAAGCGATGGCAGGAGAGCTCTCTCATCCTTTTCTCCAAGACAGAACGATGGCGCCAGTGAAGGCCTGGTCTTTTACAAATCTCAGTGGCCCCGGAATGTCGCTTTGGCTAATGGGATGCCACAGTGGCCTAATCCTTGGCAGGTTGTGCATATTGCATCCCAAGGAAATATATAGATAAGCATTAGTGAACGTAGGAAAAAAGAAGAGGGAAGGGCAAAGAGAGGAATAAATAGAGAGAGAGAGAGAGAGAGAGAGAGAGAGAGAGAGAGAGAGAGAGAGAGAGAGAAGGATAATGAAATGAAAGGAGAGAAGTGCAATTTTTATAGAGAGAGAGAGAGAATATGTATAAAGCAATTGTCGGAGATAGAGTGTAGCATAGTTGCAGTTAAGAAAATGGGAGGAGAGAAAAAGGGAGAGAAAATGAAAGTTAAAAGAACGTGAGAATGAAAGTAAAATTACAAGAACGCAGGAAAGAAAGAAGAAATTAAAGAGCGCGGGAAAGAAAGAAGAATTTAAAATCGCGGGAAAAAAGAAGAATTTAAAGAGAGCGGGAAAGAAAGAAGAGTTTAAAGAGCACGGGAAGGAGCGGGAAATGTCAAGAGCGCGGGAAAGAAAGGAGAATTTAAAGAGAGTGGGAAAGAAAGAAGAATTTAAAAGCGCGGGAAAAAAGAAGAATTTAAAGAGAGTGGGAAAGAAAGAAGAGTTTAAAGAGAGCGGAAAAGAAAAAAAGAAAAAAATTAACGGGAAGGAGCGGAAAATTTCAAGAGCGCGGGAAAGAAAGAAGAATTTAAAGAGCGCGGGAAAGAATGAAAGAAAGAAAAAATTAAAGAGCGTGTGAAAGAAAGAAAAATTTAAAAATGTTAGAAATGTCAAGAACAAAAGAAAGAAAATTCGACAGTTCTGTATTTCATCGCAGAAGAACGTACGTGCGGGTGTTGAAAAATTACTTGACCCAACCCATTTCGCAAATTTTGATGAAAAAAATGGCCAAACATTATAATTTCTTTTTTTTTGTTTTTTTTAAAATCTCCTCCAGGTCGGACCGAAAATATTTCATCGCCTCATGATAGATAAAAACTGTAAGAGATAAAAACAACTCCAGTAAAACAGAGCGTATGGATATGAATTATAAAAGAAGTAGTAATCAAATAAGAGAGAAAGAGAAACATAGATGTATAAGAAAGGATAAGTGAAGCACACCATCCATCCTCCATATATATATATATATATATATATATATATATATATATATATATATATATATTAAAGAAATACCCCTTTTACACTCTCTGTTAAATTACAAAAACTTACACTACTCATCAATTTTCATTTCATTTTTCGTTTCATATATATATATATATATATACATACATACATACATACATACATATATATATCATATATACATACATACATACATACAAATTTATATATATATATATATATATATATATATATATATAAGATAGATAAATCAAACGGCTATACCCTATAAGCAAGGGTATACGCGTATGCTGGTGTGCATACGCGGGCAAGCAAATAAATAATCGTCAAATTCATACATAAGGTGCAAACATAATAGTGCTCGATTTGGTTATACAGAACAAAGGCATTATTATAATTAGTACATATACGTGTACCTACGTTTTGGTGCGCGATTAAAGTTTCTCTGGATTACTATGCTGTTCTTGTGACCGACAAACTGGTAATACAACGAAACTTCAGTTGCACACCAAAAACCTAAATACACGTGTATATATATATATATATATATATATATATATATATATATATAGATAGATAGATAAATAGATAAGTTATGAGTAACTTGGTAATCCGTATGGATAATCCCAAGGAGGATGAAATCCTGAGAGCTCAATTCCAAAAAGGAAGTGCTATCTGATGATTCTGCGTCCTTTAAAAGTGCTCTGGTGAAATAAATTATTATAATGGTACCTTAAAGTGGTCTGTTTTTCTTTGAAATATTAGCTCTGGATTTACATTGAGCTCTCAGGATTTCATCCTCCTTGGGATTAGCCATATGGATTACCAAGGTTTCATATACTTAAATATATATATATATATATATATATATATATATATATATATATATATATATATATATATATATTTTATCTTCAACATCATCACTTGATAAGACACCGAGTGTGTTGAAACAAAATGGCTATTTTTGTAGTGATTTTATAACATACTTATGTTATAATTTTTTATAATAATAATATATATATATATATATATATATATATATATATATATATTAAGAAATGGACAAATTCCGACAATTTATTTATTAAAGACATTTTTATGTTTAACGTTCTTTTTTTTTATAGATACGAGTATTTAAGTAAATGCTCTGTTAATAATAAACAGTATTAAATAACATTTACCGGCCTGAATGTCCGAGAAATTTTCATAGAAAGGACGAATATATATTTATATATATATATATATATATATATATATATATATATATATATATATATATATAATATAAATGAATATAAAAGTGGACATTGAGGTTAACACCGAGCGACAACAGTTTGTTTCATGCTTGAACGCAATCTTCAGCATGAAACAGTCTTGACCTCAATGTCCACTTTCATATTTCCATACACTCCCTCCCGGATATTGCACCTTGTTACTCATCAATATAACGTGGCTTAAAACTCTATTTTTATCATATATAATGTGGAAAAGTGATAAGACAATAATGAAGAATATAAATTGATGATTACTGCATGAAAGATCAGAAAAGAGAGTGATGTAAAAAAAGAAAAGGAAAGGGAAATAATGAAACAAATAATAAAAAAAGGGACATTGAATATAAAACAGAGGAGAGAAACACTGTTATTGATTAGCGAAAGATGTCGAGAAAAAAAAAGAAAGAAAAAAGAAAGAATGAAAGGGAAATAAATTAAAATAAAGAAAAGGTAAAGAAATGGTAAAATATTAAGAGCAGAATAAAAAAAAATAGCGTTAAAAGAAGGGTAAAAAAAATACCTTAAAAAAATAAGAAAACAAAATCTATAAAATCTTCAATACGATACAGACTGAAAAAAAAAAAGTAAAGATAAAAAAAAATGGTGAAATAATGGCTGGAGAGAAGAAAGTAAAAAAAAAAAAAAAGAAAAGAAAAAGAGAATCTATTATAGAAAAAGAAAATGGAACAAAAGAATAAAAACGCTAGAAAGAAGAAGGAAAAGAAGCGAAAAAACATTTGTGCAACCAAGGTTCGCTGAAAATGGCACCAGTAGCAACTCTAATTGCATTATTCGATTTAATTCTGTTCTTTCTGTGTGAGTATTTTATCTGATTCTTTTCCCTCATTTTTTTTTGCCCAATTTTGAGGGTTTGTATTTCAGTATATTTGATCTTTATTCTTCAATATGGTTTCTCTCTCACATTTCCCATTTATTTTTCTCCTTTTCTTTTTTTTAATATACACTCCCCCCACAATATTATATATACGAGAATGAATGCAAATGTATTTGTTACAAATAATTCAAAGTATTATCATTATACACTATGCATTACCATATTTTTATTTCATGTGTCTAGTTTCATCCGTGGCTGGTAATAAATTCACGGGAAAATCGTCAAACAAACAAAAAAAAAAACAAGAAACAAAAACAAAAAAACAAAAAAAAACAAAAACAAAAAAAAGTCACAATTTTGGCTGAGAAAAATAGTCACAGGAAAATATAATAATTAGATTATGGTGGTTGGTAATAAAGTCATCTATTTCTGCCGGTACTTCACGAGTTTATGGGTCCACTCTGTTTGCAACAGAAATTCATAGTAAGTCGATCCAATCTCTAAATTTTTTCTATGCTACGGTCACATATTCGATATATTTCTTAGTTAGGGATTCCTAATATCTTGCAATTTTGTCCATGTTTGGTATATGAGGTTGCGATTTTGTTCATATTTGGGATAAGAGGTTGCGATTTTGGCTATGTTTATGATAAGAGGTTGCAATTTTCTGCACGCTTGGGATAAGAGGTTTCGATGTTGTCCACGCTTGGGATAAGAGGTTTCGATGTTATCCACGCTTGGGATAAGTGGTTTCAGTTTTGTCCACATTTGGAATAAGAGGTTGCAATTTCGTCCATGTTTGGGATAAGTTGTTGCGATTTTGTCAACGTTTGGGATAAGAGGCTGCAATTTTGTCCACGTTTGGGATAAGTGGTTGCGATTTTGTCCACGTTTGGGATAAGAGGTTGCGATTTTGTCCACGTTTGGGATAAGTGGTTGCGATTTTGTCCACGTTTGGGATAAGAGGCTGCAATTTCGTCCATGTTTGGGATAATATGTTGCGATGTTATATATGTTTGGGATAAGAAGTTTCAATTTTGTCCACGTTTGGGATTAGAGGTTGCGATTTTGTCCACGTTTGGGATAAGTGGTTGCGATTTTCTTCACTAGGTTTTTGTCCAACGTGTGCTAACTTTGTTCTGTTTCTTTAAATCCTGTGCCTTTTTTTTTACCCAGTTTCCTTTCACCAGTCTCTTGTATATTTAAATATATAAATTTATGGGTCACTTGATAAATTAATATGATATTTGAAAACACACAAAACAATATGATACTTTCCAATTTGAAATGAATGTTTGTAAAAGATAAATGAAAGAAATTTAACATAGACAAGGTAAAACAAAACAAAAATAAAATCACTTGGTGCACATGTAAAATTGGGCTGAATTTTCTCTGTACTGTTCTCATGATTTCAAAAAGGCTATTAAGTTATACTTTTAGTTTGAAGCAGGGAGCCGGTCTAAGAGTTTGCAGTGCACTGACTACGGTTACTGATGTAAGACTAATAGGTGAATTAGTTTCTAACAAAAATATTTATTGAATTCTATACTGTCGCTGAATAAGTAATAATATACCTATATTTTCTTATAATTAAGTAGACAGAATTACCTCTGGATTTAATTAATAGGAAAAATAATAATGGATACGACAACTACAAGCCATTTTTTATAAGAGATAATATTTCTATGTGCTCAGAAATATTAAGTTTCTTTTGATATCTACGAATGCACATAAGTATTCACTTATATTAAGCACACACATATATAAGAGTATATATTTGTATGCTTTCAAATATGCCCCCGACCACAGAAGTATGTATTTGTAGATATAGAAGAGATGATATTTATGTACAAATATAAATTGAATATGATGTCGTCATATTGGCATCATATTGGCGTTTATAGTTGCATTTTGGCGATAATTAACACGAAAGATGATTACTAAATGTATTTTAAATAATCCTGAAATTAAAAAATGTCTTTAAAAAAAGACTATTTGTCTTTTTTTAAATACATTTTTTAATTAAACATTCTAATTTATTTCCATTAGTTTTCAGCAACGCTGTTCATAATTATGGGAAATAAAATTTGAAAAATATATCGTAATAAAAGCTATGGAAGAAAAGACGCGTTCGTTTGCAGAAATTGTTCGCTGTAAATATTGATTAAATTTTATTGGAACCAATATCAGCACAGTCAAATCTGCTGCCAACCCCACCACATAAATGGGTTTGTTTTAGTAAATGAACAGAATATTCGGAAGCTAGATGTTCGAGATTCAATCCCAGAGCAAAACGAAGAGGGCGCTGAAAATTAGATTAACTGTGAAACTTGAAGTTTATATGCTAATTAAATAATGAAAACCATTTTATGAACCGTCTTATTGATTTTAATGAAATTTAAGCTAATTTTCAATGTAAGTTCAATCCATGCTTAGAATATTGCTACCGGATATGTTCTGGTGCCCCTAATATTTACCATGAGCTCCTTGTTAAAATCAAAAGAAGAATCTGTTGAGTGTTTTTGGTATGTTGTTGGTGCACAAACTAATTTAGTAGCTGTGATTACAAGTTATTCCGGGCGCTGCGTCCTTGGGAAAAATCGTAACAGTTATGCAATGCTTTAAAATTAAACAAGTGAATTTTTAAATGAAACTAAAGACAGATTTGTTTTAATAACAAATAACCACTTATATTTTTTACACCGTGTGGTGTGTTTAATAAAAAAACCTTGAGAAGAAAGGAAACGTTTACATACACACATAGAAGTGTATTTAATAAAACCCTTGAAAGAAAGGAAAAAGTAGGTACTTAACTTCGTTGAAGAATCTATGTCGGCAAAGCGGCAAATGTCAATTCAGTTGATGAGTGATCCATGCTTGAATTCCCAACATGAAATCCCCCTTCACCTTTTTCTTTTTTATCTTTGGTATTTAAGGTTTTCAGGTAGCAGGTGCTGACTCAAAATAAAGCTCTTCACATATGCAAGGGAAGCGCTGTCAGTGGTCGAATAATAGAACGAATTTTATTTTCGAATATTTTAAAACGCTGCAGGAAGTGTCACTCGGAGCCTATGCGTACATGTCAGATTTTGGCCATTCGACTCCTGACTCTGAGATAGCAACTTCCAGTCGATCTGACGATACGCCACCAAGTTTGTTAGTTGAGAGGAACATAGTTTTTAAAATGAAATTCTTCTCCCAGATTTGGTGGAACGCGGTACTGTATTTTGTAGAGTGATCATCACTTCCGCCCGTTGTGTTTGTGATGCGGGTGATGTTAATAAAATGACTAAATGGCTGTGAAATTGTTATATCTTTTGTCTCAATGTAAGTTGGTTTAATTTTGTTAATAGATACAGTTTCTCTCTTGTCATTATACAAAATTGTAAAATACATGTCAGCTCTGTCACAAATAATGTACAGACCATTATAAAATGGCGCAAAATCTTGAAATCTTTGCATACAAAATATTTTCACAATTTTTTTGTGATCAGTGTAAATCACAAAGTCCCTGTCTTCTACCAAACTGATACTTTCTCACGGCTAAAAATATAGTTAAAAGTTCTCTGCAGAAAGCTGTCCTGGGAATGACGATAAACTGCTTCCGCGTCCTGGGTAAGACGATAAACTGCTTCCGCGTCCTGGGTAAGACGATAAACTACACCGGCGTCCTGGGTAAGACGATAAACTGCATCGGCGTCCTAGGTAAAACGATAAACTGCATCCGCGTCCTGGGCAAGACGATAAACTACATCCTGCGTAAGACGATAAACTACACCGGCGTCCTGGGTAAGACGATAAACTGCATCGGCGTCCCGGCGTCCTGGGCAAGACGATAAAACATCCGCGTCCTGGGTAAGACGCATCGGCGTCCTAGGTAAAACGATAAAATCGGCGTCCCATCCGCGTCCTGGGCAAGACGATAAACCATCCGCGTCCTGGGTAAGACGATAAACTACACCGGCGTCCTGGGTAAGACGATAAACTGCATCGGCGTCCTAGGTAAAACGATAAACCGCATCCGCGTCCTGGGCAAGACGATAAACTACATCCGCGTCCTGGGTAAGACGATAAACTACACCGGCGTCCTGGGTAAGACGATAAACTGCATCGGCGTCCTAGGTAAAACGATAAACTGCATCCGCGTCCTGGGCAAGACGATAAACTACATCCGCGTCCTGGGTAAGACGATAAACTACACCGGCGTCCTGGGTAAGACGATAAACTGCATCGGCGTCCTAGGTAAAACGATAAACTGCATCCGCGTCCTGGGCAAGACGATAAACTACATCCGCGTCCTGGGTAAGACGATAAACTACATCCACGTCCTGAGTAAGACGATAAACTACATTCACCTCCTGGGTAAGACGATAAACTACATCCGCGTTCTGAGTAAGACGATAAACTGCATTCAACAGCAAGGCCTCTGATCAGGAGACTTTGAGGAGCGTAGAAACATCTCTTAATTGCTGGTGTTCCCTGGTCCACCCTGACCCTGGGTGGTAGCACCTGTTAGGGTTTTAACTATAGGCATATAGCTAACCCCAAATTGGAATCAAAACATTTTGAAAGTGTAAAAATAGGTTTTAATACAGCAATATGTTTTTGCAAAAAAATTAACAACAATAATTTTTTGAAGAAAAAAATATTACCATCAATAAAAATCTTATCGACATTAAATAACACACTGAGGTTGATAAGCCGTAAAACAAACAAAACCAAACCAACTCGGAGAAAGTGTTGTAATTCCTTTGAACTGGATTCATTTTAGAAGAAAAAAAATGAGATAGGCTGAGAGATATTATAATTTACTTGACGTAAAACGAGCGCAACTGCTACCCTACTAGCACCAGTTGTTAATGTCAATTTGATGTCATCATTGCACAAATAACTTAGTTTGGC